TAACTTAGCTAATACTAGGCAGAATGAGCTAATTCTTTTTTTATTAGAAGGCGCAATACTAGGCGCTTCTATTAAATAATAGATTATGTAAGCGTATCTCTGCTAGTTAAGAAGCTATAAGCCAAAACGTAAAAAAGCATACCCTACCCATCCGCCAGCCTACAGCTGCGTACCCTGCTAGAACCCCTCCTCCTAGAGACGCTATAGTAGTTAAAGACTCTAAGCAATACCTATAAGTTTAGATCTTAATTAAAGCTTGTACGCGATTCCTTTACTTGCTCGCCTGTTACAGCTTAGGCTGGTTTCTCCTAGCTTATAAAAGGTGGTGAGCTGATGCTGCATGAAAATGCGCTTCAATGTGCTTGGATCTATAAGCTTGAAGAGCAATTAGCAGAGATAACCAAGCGAAAATTGCGTAAGCGCAAGCGGATTTAGCAGGGTGGTACTATGGAGTATAGGACTGCTGCAGCGCAGGTAGCTGCTAAGGCATCTATAGCGCCTCAGCAATCCAAGAAGGCTCGTGGTGGTAGTGGTCAAGAACTAGCCTAACCAGCTCTTCAGCGCTGTGGGAACTGCGGTAGGACTAGGCACAATGCGCGAACGTGCAAAAAGGATATAGAGGTGTCCTTAGAATTAGATGCTAGTACAACATACGCAGGCTCCCTGTTTAATAGCAATGAAATTGAGGAGTTGTAGCATAGGTTGAGGCTGCCAAGAGATTTTGGGACACTCGGTGATGTGGGACACTCGGTGATAGTTTAGGTTAGTATTTATTTATAGAGCAGGTTAAGAACAGGCTTAGTAGCAGGTTATAGTAGATGCTTACATAGGCAAAATAGAAAGAATAGGGCTACAGACTATACTTAAGTAATAGTAAGTAGAATATAAAGTAGGTTAGGTAGTACTTATATTGCGTAGACTGCTTCTTAATATTATTGCTTGTCTGCGTGCATATAACGTCTAGATAGCTAGGTAGAGGGTTAGAGGTAATAATAATGCGCTTTTAGAATAGGTAGCTATAAGACTGCAATATCTTTATTATTAATAGGCAGGTAATAATAGTTACCTGCTATTATAAGTCACAGTTGCAGTAGGACAAGCTAAAGGTAGTGTTACGCTTCTTGCCACTGTAGCTAGGACAGGTTATAGTTGTGTATTTAGCGTACTTGTGCCTGTTTTGAGAGTACTTAACTGTAAATATGCTTAGTAGTGGCTTTAGCGACTATGTGTGGGCGGACAAGCGTAGGCTGTGGGAGACTAACCAACTAACGCAGGCGCTGCAGCACAAGACAGGCAAGAGACTTAGAGTGGAGCTGCACACGCTTGACTACTAGCACACCGCTGTCAGCATTAGGAGGGAGAAGGTAGGGCCAGCGTTCAGCAAGGGCTATTAGGACAAGATAGGTGAGGTGGAAGAGGCTGAAGTAGACAAAGGAGAGGAGGACTTGATAGAGCTGCAGAACACGCGGACAACGGCGATAGGGGTAAGCAACTATAGCGTGCTGATTAACATTGTGAAGCATCTTAGCGCGCGCTTAATTAAAGCGTTCTAGACGCTCAGCAACACGTGGCACAGCTTCTTAGGGCTAGAGAAGTGTCAAGCACTATAGGAGGAGACGTAGACAAGCAATGTAGACGTAAGCAGACGAGCAAAGAAGCAACAGCATATTAATAATAATAGCAAAGACAAAGAAGAAGAAGGAGAAGAAGAGGAGGAGGGGGAAGAGGAGGAAGAGGGGGGTAGAGAGTTTGTATGGCAACAGAGACTATTCTAAGTTAGTAATATAAAAGAGACAGTAATCTATAGGGCAATGCAGCAGGTGCTTAGTTAGGAGGAGGTCAGCTTCAGGTCGGTCGAGCAAGAGCAGGCACTGCACGCAGTGATGGACAGGCAGACGCTGCTGGTGGTTGTGCTGCCGACAGGCGGAGGCAAGAGCTTGCTGTTCAGCGTGCCGGCTTGCTTGACGGACGCTGGGGTGACGGTGGTGGTAGTGCTGTATTGAGCGCTGATGGAGGACTTGGTGAGCCGCATACGAAAGTGCGGCATTGACTGCATCTAGTGGAAGCACGGAGAGAGCAATCTGGTGAGCGTAGTTGTAGTCAGCGCAGACATGGCTAGTGACACAAGAAGCAACGGCAACTTCATAGGGTACGCGAACATGCTGCACAGCAAAGGGCTGCTGCGGCGGGTGGTGGTGGACAAGTGTCATCTCATCTTCACGTCGAGCGACTGGCGACCGAAGCTGGCAGAGTTAAAGAACTTGCGGCTGCTGCCGTGCCCGATCGTGCTGCTCACAGCGACGCTTCCGCCGGTGCGGGAGGGTGAGCTAGCAACAAGCATGCTAATTCCGTGCGCAATGTACATCTGGGCAAGCACCGTACGGCCGAACACGCAGTACTACGTGTTGTGGTGCAAGCGTGGCAAGGCGTTAGAGACGGCGGTGGCGATGTGTCGACAGCAGCAGCAGCTACTGCTTAGCAGAGGCTGGAAGGGCGTGGTGTACTGTCGCAGCAAGCAGCAGTGCGAAGAGCTAGCCGAGGTGCTGGGGTGCGGGTGCTATCACGCCAACGTGCCCAACTGTGAGGACCAAGTGAAGCAGTGGTTGATAGAAGGAGGGCTGATGACAGCGACATCAGCGCTAGGTACAGGGGTAGACTTCCCTAGCCAAGATAAGGGCGCGGGGAGGACACCAAACCGCAGCAAAAGAGGCTTAGCGTTAGGGTTTGACCCCTTTTAAGCAATCTGCTTTAGTGGTCCCCTGCGTTACCCTAACACCACTAACCTACTATTACTTTAGGCCTAAATTAAAAAATATCTTATACAAACTTAATTCTTATATACTTTGCACAGCGACGCTGAGCGTTTTGTCTGTCTATTTAGCAAAACTTAGTGCTGTTATAGTAAGTAGGGTTAGGGTTTCTGCGCGATAGAGCTTGTGTGGGACAGCCAAGCAAACAATTCAGGCAGCAGCGAAAACAACACTGCAAACTCCCACAGATGGCCCTAGCAGCTCACACTTAGCAATTCTAATAATGTTTTCTGCTTTCTTGAAGGCTTTAGCGTTATTGTTTGCAAGCAGCACTGTACAGCAGTTGTGAGTCTTGATGCGCATCTCCGCAAATATCATGCTGCATCTGCTGCGCTACGGCGAAAGATACTTGAGCGCTTCACTCAATTT